TAGCTCTCCCATAGGTAAGGTTAGCCTCCAGAATGGCTTTATGGCCTTTTCTTGCCTTGGACTTCTGAAGAATAGATACAGCATGCCTGTTGAGAGTTGTTGCTGTGGCTTGGGTATTTATTCTACTAGATATTTTCTATTCTTGCTAAATTTGTGGTTTGGTGTGAGCTACTAACTTGTAGAAAATCTCAGTCACCATTACTTTAAGTGGTTCTGCTTCTATCTCTTTTTTGATATCCACATCACACATTACACCTTTCGTAGATGCTCCATAGCTCTTCAATATTTTTCTCTGGTTTTTTCCCTCTAACTCTCTAGGCTTCTTACTTTGATTTTTCATTTTTGGAAGTATCTATTGACTTACCCTAAAGTTTATAGATTCCTTCTTCAGACAAACCTGGTACACTAAGATCACTGATGACATTTCTCATTTCACCTACAAGTTTAATCTCTAGCTTTTCTCTTTGAACCATTCATGGTTTTTCTCTCTGTTGACATTTACCATTTTCTCTTAAATGCTGTCTACATTTTCCCACTAAAAGTAATGCTGTAGTACATTTATCATGGTTGTGGTTTTTGTTTGCTTATTTTTAAAATTCTGGTCTGATCACTACAGTCTTTGAAAAGACTGTTAGGCCCCTTGTTGTCCATGCTGACACTGAACTTCTGTGCTCAAGATCTCCTTCTTTCTCGGCCTCCTGAGTAACTGACACTATATTTTTTGTTGAAGAGTAGATATGATGTACTTAGATAGGGAGAACTATAGAAATGAGGCTTTTTGTAGGTACCAGTAGAGTGTGGAGAGACATGACAGATCCCATAGCATCACCATATGTCTCAGCTCTTCAGTGAGCAGTTGTCTCTGGACTGTGAACTTCATACGTGCTTCATAGATCCTTATTCTCACCCAAGATACCTAGAGGAAGTTAAGGAAGTGTATTCCTTTACTCCAACTGTGATAAGCTCTACTAAAAGCTCCTGTAGATTGTATCTCTTATAATCTTCTCCAGGCAGAAGGACAATGATTGTCTCCAAGCTTTTGCGGTGTAGATCTGGTAGGTCTCTTAGATGTAAAACTCACCTTAGTGTTCCATCCCTGGCACCTTCCCCAAAGTGGGTCCCTGTGGAGTTTGTAACTCACAGGCATTTCCATACTAAGACTAGAATTCAATTCTAGTTGAATTCCATTCTAGTGTCAATTCCATTCAGGGTTTCCTAGCCAGGCACTGTTTCCCTCATGAGCTGCAATTCCCTGTGTCCACCTCTCTGTGTCTAATCTCTCTTGAGCAGAGAGATTTGCCCTTTCTATCCCACTTTTCTGGTGCATGGATCTAGGAGTGGTTGACTCTTCAATTTGTTCAGCAGCTTGTAGTTAGGATGGAGTGACCACTCTGCCTTATTTAGCATCATGAAACCCTCCACTTCCAGATCTTAGTGGCAAGAGGAAAAGCACTTTCCAAGTTTGTGTCAGCATTTTCCCCCATGGGATGGCCACTCAGAGTCAAATGACCCAACAATAATGAATACAATACGTGGCCTAGAACAGCAGCCTAGTCTGCTATTCCGGGGCTAGTAAATGTCAGCAGGAAGAATCGGAGAGTAGTAACCCTTGTCATACGGAAATAGGCATACGTGTCCATAGGACAAAATTCTAACTATGTAAATGGACAAAAAATTTTAAAAAATAACTCTCTCAAACTCTTAACACCCAACAGCTTTTATGATGCAAATTGTTAGCAAATTCTTGGGTCTCCTTAAAACACATCTGTAAGGAACTACTATGTGCCTCCACCTTTAGATAGAAATTCATTTTAGAAAAGAAATTTTTTTCCATAATATTAGAATTTTAATCATAATCTCCCTTAGCATTTACTGCTCCTATGGAAAAAAAAAAGCAAAGAAAACTCTAGATAAGTACATGAGACTCTGAGGTCAGTTTTACTCTTAGATAGATTCCGAGTATGTCTTTTAAGATGTTTGCAAACTTTGAAATCTGCCACTTTCCTTTGTTTTCCTTTCCCGTGTTTTCTTTCAAAACTAAATTTTATTTTACCTCAATCATCATAAAATGGGAGCAAAAGGAAAAAAAAATTATACATGTTCCCTTTGGAAATTTGGGACTCCAATTATGTGTGGGCACATAGGGGGATTTTGAAGAGTTGTCAGCATTTTGTGAATCCTCTACTTATACTCCTATAGCAAGAAAAAAATAAAAGAAAGAAAAAAGAAAACAGGAGGCTAAGTGCCTTTTATCTAAGAGGTGACTGAGGAATCATTGCAGCTGAAGAGGCAAGAAGATTTTAAGAGCCAGGGGCCATGGATGACTAGAAGGAAACCGTGTCATCTGCAGACAGCAGGGCAGTTAGTTATACATATGAATTCACAACGCTTGAGTCAGGACATATAGACCTGCACAGAGTCAAGGGA